TAAGATAAATGACAATTGTATATTAAAGCCATAATAAACCAATAACTTATCGAACTACTGCCTATATGTGATTGAATACGAGTATACGACTGTTGAAAGAGAATAACATGGTTGAAATATTAATTACTAGTATTCCCAGTATGTGATAATTTTTTTTATTATAGAGCTATTTCAAAATACTTTTACAGACGAGTCGATTTATTTATTTATTTACTTACTTATATACTTACTTACTTCTCGTCAACACAGTCTAGCTGCTGAGATTGGTTTGGGGGACGTGGCAATCTTGCCGGTGATCATGTCATATAGTTATGCACATTGCCTTGAGTAATGAAAGAATTCGAAACATAAAATAACATGTCTTGTTGATTTAACAGATTGCATGTTAGTCCTTAAAACGTAAGGTGTGATTGTCACCATGATAAACTCGACTCAAAATACATTTTAGACAAACTATAATAATACCATTTTGCAAAAAAATAAAACAGACGTACGAATAAGTCAAAATAATAACAATGAAAAAAACCAAACATAATTACTACGTTCACATTACAGAGTTTAGGCACGTGTCGACTTTGTTATCCTTTTTTTGCAGAAGGGTCACACTGCAGCAGTCGTGTTCACGTTAATCAGGACCTACTTGGGATCCATTCTGTCTGTGCCGAAATCACGCCCTCATTCTTCTATCTGTTCATGATCCAAACATGGCAGACGATACGCATTCGATGATAATAATACTTGCTTTACGGAAATCATATCTATTTGATGTTGTGGCATTTATTATGAGTAATCGTGCACATGAACGGCAAATAGTTATGACTCACAGAATAGTTATTTTTCACGTGAATATAGAATTGCAAGCAGAAACTGGTTGCAGCGACACAAAAATATACGTCACTGACTGTGTGTTCATTTTATTCATTACTACACTACCCGACCACCACTTCCCACCATTATCGCCATGTCATAAAATGTACTCGTGAATCAGTATATGTTCTCTTGAATTCACCACCGAGGGCGTGATTTCGGTTCGTGCTGGGCGCTCAGGCTGCAGATCTCGGCACGTGCCAAGTTTCGGGACCAATATCAATTTTTTTCTGCTCGTTTTGTTCGTAACATTCCCGTGTTTATAGATTACTGGATACCATTGGGAGTAATATATTTGAATGTGAAACTATGCAGCACAGTGACAACTAAAAAAAACTATGGGGATTGCGAACTGTAAACAAAAATAACAGCGCATCATCATGTTAACGTAACGATAATTGCAAGGTGGAAAGGTGGGTACTTCTTTTAGTTCATCTTAGTTTGAAGTTTGAAAGAAAGCCGTACACACATATAAAGATGGAAAACCAATATGAGATCGCTTGAAAGTTATAGTTCGACATCGTGTCTAAACTTTGCCCTGGGCACTCGTCTGGTATAATAGGACATGTGTGTTCTCCAGAAACAACTCCTTTCCACCCGTACAAATTTACATCCTTTTTCGAAAAACACGAAGAAGATACACTATATGTTTGCTGTGTTGTAATGTCTCTGTGCATTTAATGTGTTTGGTTATGGTGGAACAACAAGGTCTATCTTTTTTTTTTTTAAAGTACCCCTTTCTTTGCAAAATTTAGAACGCATATGCGTATTCCTCGACCAGCCGAGTGTCCCCTCCTCTTCCGGGTTAGTTGTTCAATTCATAACTTCATTTTCACACAAACTCGATGGTATTCTGTGGCAATTGAATGTATTCATGATTTCATTTCTATTTCGCAGAGCAACGTCGTCGTCGTTTTTTTCTTGATTGCCATATTGCCGTGTTCAAAAGGATCCGGATCATCGATGAAATTTCTTCACGTTTCAAGAGATATTTGAAAACAAACACAACTTGGCGTCAGTTTTGACACAATTTCTTGACAAAACCTATTAATAAAGAACTCCGCTGTTGATGAAATTGTGAAAATTCACTAAATCTGAATCGAAATGGTGGTTTAGAATAAAAGACATCTATTGAAAGGTTTATATAGTCGGCCATTTTGAATCCCACGCGATTTATTTTTTCCGTACAAGAATAAACTCTCGAAACTTATGGTTTCAATAAGGGATAATTCCTAATTAGGGCAATAATAATAAACGATATGGTTTGTGGTTACGCGGAGCTATCTAGAAATTAATCACAATACAATATGGAACATTCAGCGTTTTAAGACTGTCATTTATTACTTCAAGTTTACAATTTTCTTTTAAAATTACCGTCACTTATTCAAGTTGCTGTAGAGTGAAGATCGGGTAGAGGGGTGGGTCTCGTTGTCACGTTCATCACAATTGAATCCCAGTTCGGCATAATTAAAGCAGCAATATCGATATTTTTTCTCCGCTGAATGCATAGCATATGCGCTATATACTGTAAAATCGTTTATTTTCACTAGTTTGATGTTTTGAGCATATTCACCGTTTTTTAATTTCACGAATTTGAGAAAAAAAAAGCAACGAGTTTTAATGTTATTTTATATATTCAAATAGATTCAAATTAGCGGATTTCACTTTATCATCGAAAATAGCGAAATTGAGAGCCAGTGAATAATTAATCCACCTTTACTGTTTATTAAATCACTTGCAAGAGGAAAAAGATGACCGCTGCATGGGTTGCCCCCAGAGCTCCAGAGGGCGCCATCTACTGAAATTCAGTTTCTTCATCAAGCGAACCTCATACGGTATAAGACGACAATTTTATCGGGAACCTTGGCGAAATATCAAATACATCGTCCTTTTACTTAAATATTGTATGTGTTATTCCCCATAATAGTATATATCAATTGTTAACGGTTTCCGCCACGTAACCGATTCCAATGAAATGGTGATTACTCGACGCTTTGTTTTCATTAGCCGTGTGTACGGTCACTTTGCCTGTGCAATTATGCCTAGAACAATAATTCAATCAAATTTTATCATCTTCATGTGGTTAAATTCAAACAAAAAGTATTCGAAATACAGCTATTGCCGCTTCAGAACAATGGGTGTGTGTACTTTCTAGTCAGCTTGTCTTTCATAAATAAACAAGAAACCATACAAAATAGGTCGTTTCGAAAACATCTCGAAAAATCAAAACTTGAAGTCAACCGTGGAACTCTGTGTTTTTCTGAGAGGTACAAGCGGTGTTAAAATGGCGCTCGAAGATGCGAGCGAGGTTTCGCTAATGACGTGATCACGTGATGCAGTATGCGAGAAGTGAGCGTGTGCGTGACGGAAATGGAACGTTTCACACGCGTCACAGTCATTATTGGGAATAGAACGCTCTCTGTAAACATTCCGTAATCACGCCTTGAACAGCACAGTCTCTAAACTTTGTAATTTACGTGGATTAAGAAACTATGGGCAACGCGAATTGTAAAAAACAAACAGCGGATAATGTTGATGTAAACAACAATGACATTGTGGAAAGGTAAGAACTGAAATTAATCGTAGTTTGAGCTTTGACAGCAAGCCGCGCACATGAATTTAGATGGCCAACAATGTGAAATCGACTGAAAGTGATTTGATATTGCATGTTCTCGTGCTGAATTATGGTAAAGTCTTAAAATAATGGCGGGCATTTGGAGTGACATATTAATCAAAAACAGCGCTTTAAAAGTTATAGACACCAAAGTCAATTTGTGCGCCACGATTGCATGGTTTAAAGTATCCGGGGTATTTTGCGGCCATTGGATTTATTCATAGTTTCCTTTCTTATCCACAGATCAACGCTGTCGCCTGGTCTCGATTGGGATATCACAATGTTCGAAAGGACGTTCGATGAGCTTTCCTCACGCTTTGAAGAGATCATTGAAAACAACCACAACTTAAAGTCAGCCGCGGGATGTTCTTTCTTTGCAAAGCGTAAGAATTACACCGTAGATGAAATTGAGGAAATTCGCCAAATATTTATCGAAATGTTGATTAGAATAAAAGAAATCGTTGGGGAAAACAATGAATTATATTCGATGGTTTTCCCCAACGATGTCCACAATTCTAGCCATATCGGAAAGATGGAGTGCGTCCGCCAAGAAAACAATCGTCTAGCTATCACAATATCTGAGTTGGAAAGTCGCTGTAATGCTCTTAATGAGGAGATAGCAAAGTTGGATGAACTGAACACCAATCAGCGAGACAAACTAACTGTTCTAAATGAGAAGATACAAAAGTTGAATGAACTGAATACCACTCAACGAGACAAACTATCTGACGTTGAAAGTGAGCTGCGGTACATGGGAGATAAAGCCGATGACCTCGATAAAGACAAATTCGAACTGCAATTGAAGCTTGAGGATGCAACACAAATGTTGAGCGATAAGAAATCCGAAATAAGAGCGTCAAACATTAGTTACAAAACAGAACTCAGAGAGATGAAAAAGATTGTCGAAGAACTAGAAAACAAAATAGAGATATCCGAAAAAGAAGTAGTGTGTTTGAGAGAACAACTTAACAACCAGGAAGCGTTTTCACGCAACACAGAGCAGCATCTTTCAACTACACAGTCATCACTGAGTGTGTTCGCAGGACAGCAAACCACAATGGCTTCCACTGTACCTGGAAATTACCATCACTTTCAGCAGCAACAATTTACCTCCCAACAAGTGTCTTATCAGTTCGAAAACACCGTGAATCAAATGAATTCCGTGCAGCAATCCGTTGTCGTGGCAACATCAGAAATACGTCAGATCTCGCAGCTAGTCACAACCCAAGAACAGTTAGCATTTCATTCTCAGTACAATCTTGATGCACACTCCTCCCCCATGTCTACAGCCGCTGTGAACGTCGATCCTAACTACCGTCATTACTTTGGTGGAGAAAATGAAATGAGCAATGGCTACCATGGTGATGGATACTATCACCTGTTTTAATTTTTATTTCCGTTTCATTTTTTGTACTATTATCAATTAATTATCACTTATTAAATCATAATTAAAAAATCTAATATCGTTTCTTGGCTGATAAACTGATAGCATGTGAGGAATGAGTGGATACAAATATCCATGGAATGGACATACTTAGTAGTCTCCATATGGATACGAGTGGGCGTGGCATTTGTGCATGGAATGGACATAATCTACATATGGATACGAGTGGGCGTGGCATTTGTGCATGGAATGGACATAATCTACATATGGATACGAAGTGGGCGTGGCATTTGTGCATGGAATGGACATAATCTACATATGGATACGAGTAGGCGTGGTATTTGTGCATGGAATAGACATAGTCTATATATGGATACGAGTGGGCGTGGCATTTGTGCATGGAATGGACATAATTTACATATGGATACGAGTGGGCGTGGCATTTGTGCATGGAATGGACATAATCTACATATGGATACGAGTGGGCGTGGCATTTGTGCATGGAATGGACATAATCTACATATGGATACGAGTGGGCGTGGCATTTGTGCATGGAATGGACATAATCTACATATGGGTACGAGTGGGCGTGGCATTTGTGCATGGAATGGACATAATCTACATATGGATACGAGTGGGCGTGGCATTTGTGCATGGAATGGACATAATCTACATATGGGTACGAGTGGGCGTGGCATTTGTGCATGGAATGGACATAATCTACATATGGGTACG